AATGCTAGAACAAAAGGGGCATTAGAACTGACACGGGATAAAAGGTTGAACTTGCAACACATTTGTTGGGTAAAAGCATGAATAAATGATAATCTTTTGTTCCTTAAAATCTATTTACATATCTCAGGATAACAGAAGGCACTCACCCATCTTTGGTGGTGTCGGCCACTCCGGCTATCAGCTCCACAGTTTTGGGGTTGTGTTGAGGCTGTGTGTGCAGACCCAGGTAGCTCTGTACAAAGTCCCTGGGGGTCATGTAATGCTCCCCATCCTCCACCACACTGGCATACTGCAGAGGAGACACACACGGAGCTGTGAATGATGCGCATGGACGTTACACATGTGGATTTGGATAAAGAAATTCCTTTGTGTGCATAGAAAGAAAACGATGTTGCGACTGAGTACAATGAGAGAAAGAGACCAATAGGTGATTAATCAACAAGTCTGTCTCTCTATCGCTCTCTCCTTTGGTTTCTATTTTCTCTGTGTTCACTTTTCTAAACCAGCACATATAGTTCTTTCCTGGCCCTATATGATAGGCCTATTTTAAAAATACACAAAGCTACGCTGCATACAAGTATTGAAAAGCCTCAGTCTTTTTCTTTAGTCAAAGGACTATAGAAAGAAGACTGATGCTTTATGTACAGCAGAGAACAATCTACATGTCACTAACAGATAACTGAGATACACAATTGCATTTAAACATCACTAGAATGGATGATGAAAACATAACCTTGTTGCCACAGAATCAAATATGTGAACTTCAACTACAATCTATATGATGCATACTGTGCTATTAACTGTCATTACTATGTCCGGCAGTGAGGAACACTTCATAATAAGTGGCTTTAAAATGTATCTGGCGAAGAGTGTACACAGTTTTAATCTTTATTTATTCACAGAAGTACAAGACGTCTCATACAGGAACCTGGAACCTGCCCAGTACAATCTGTTGGCCACTGTCCAGCTCCACTGAAGAATACAGGGCTTCATGTGATTGCTCAAGGGCACCTCGGACATGGTTACTTTCAGCACCCAAACTTATCCTGCTGGTCTGGTGGATGAACCGTGGATCACAAGCACATTTTTCTAATCTTAAGGCCTCAATTCTGATATGGTAATATAATATATAATATATTTTTCATATCACAATATTAGGGAATATTTATTTTTGGATAATTTATTGAAATAAATACCTGGAAATTTGAGGAACTTGATGCAATAAAAAAAATCCTGTAAAACTAATATTACTATAAATCTAAATTACTACAATCTGTTGGTCCACTGAGTAGTTCCCAGGGAAGCGTTTGGGGGGTTCTTGTGATTGCTAAAGGGCACTTCAGACATGGCTGAGAGGTGCTTTTTCACTTTCAGCATCCAAATGAATCCAGCCTGTCTGGTGGTTGAACCTTGGATCTCCAGCCCACTTTGAGGTTACCAATACCAGAAATTGAGAGAAGCAATATGGATAAAATTTCTATCATGTCCCAATATTGACATATATTGTGATACAGCAAATATGTGCACAGATCAGGAATGTTTATTTTTGGCAAATCTTTGGAAATAAATGCCTGAAAATCCAAGGTAAGATCCTGAAAATAGAATATTATTATCAGTCATTCATTGGAAGAGGTCTAAAACAACCACAGACTGTAGCTTGTGGTCCTAAAGGGGAACCTCGACATTAGTTTCCAGAAAAATATTGCGCGAATTTAAGATGAATTGATCAAATGTTAAGCCAGAGTAACAATAAATCAATAATAATCACCTTGTAATTGTGACTGACTGAAGCAAAACAAGCGTGTCTAATGCAGCAGTGTAAATCCTGAGGTCGCAGTCAGGCTTCAAGAAGTAAGGTCATTTTTAGAGCCCTCTTGGATTTCAAGTTGGAACAGACATAGCTCTGGAAACACAAGCGCCACATGAACTGGCAACAGAAAGGCCACACTCATGGGTGTGAGCCAAGCTCGGATAGAGAGAGCATGAGACAAACAAAGCAGGAGTGTGGGAGGGGGACCTTCACGGCAAGTGTTTTCAAGGCAACAATTCAACGCACTCCGCTGAATTAATGTTTTAAGTGAAAATATTAATTCCGAGCAATTTATTGCCACATTTCTCCGTGGCGTGATTGTGTATCCATTCACCCTCACAGTAGGCCTCAAGTAGTTCTTAATCAAATTATACAGGCAGTCGGAACGAGCCTCCAGTAATTAACTCTTCCACCTGAATATGCAGCAGAAAATTATGCAGCTCACTCACAGCCCAGTCAAGAGACGTGGAGGGACCACAGTTTGTGACTCGGATTCACTACTTACAAATTTATACTCCGAGCAAAATGTGTGGATTTACACACAACTACACACAAATATCATGGTTTTATATCTTTGACAGAGCTTGATGAGAAAGTCATTGACATCCCGACACTGGAAACACACAGATGAAGTCAGAGCAGGGGGAGATTCTCGGTTGAAGCAGATCCAAAATTAGTCCAAGCATTTGTGTGACCTTTACTGAACTATGTATCCCAATGGGCACCACACAGAAACTACCACCGACTGCAGCACAGAAGTTACACTTGTAACAACAGTAATACACAGTAATATACAGTTGACTTGCGTGTCAAGGCTGCAGACATTTTCTTTTCTGTCTTACCTTATGAAAAATAGTCTTCAAATCATGGGGGTCAGCCCTTTTTGTTACTTGCACCTGCAACACATAAGTTAGAAGAGTCAGAATATCAAGCAGACCCCAGCAGGACACTTGTTCAATCCCCTGATCAATAAATCTGAAGTTCACACTGTCACTGTTCAAGCTCTGATTTTAACGCAGCTCAGCGGGGATCGATCCCAGACGACTGTGACAACACCCTGCATGAGGAAACAACCGAGCTGCGATCCACAGCGAAACCCCGTCTCTAACCTCATGTCTCTGACACACACATGCAACAGAGGAAACACATCTCAGCTGAGTGTGTGAGGCCGGTGCAGATGCGCCTGTGTAAAGATGCAGGATTCAGATAAATAAAGAGGGAAACTCCGCTGCGTCTCGTCGTTTCCAGCCGGAGGCTCTAAAGCCACGACTCCGCCCGGAGACGGTCTCCTCTCCTCCGCATCCACCGGCGGCTCCTCCTCATCTTTACTGTGTTTAAAGTTAAAGTCAGAAAAGAAACAGATTGACGGAGTCACCTTGACCGCCATGCTGGCTGTGACGTCACCTGCAGAGGACTGGCGCAGGCGCTGGGTATCGGGACAACACACGCACACGCACACGCACCCACACACACGCGCTGAAATATATTTAGACAAAGTATTGTCCTATTCTATCTTCAGGGCGGTGTGTGTTCATCAAGGAGAAGAGGGAGGGGAGAGAGAGAGAGATTGTGTGTGTGTGTGTG